GACATAATTCATTACGCTGTGCCAAATTTCGTGCAAATCGAAAGATATATAGGGAATTTCGTTCACCATTTACCTAAAATCAGACGAAAATATATATGGGAGCTATATATAAATCTGAACCGATTTTCAGGAAAGTTAACACACATCATTCTTGACTTAATTCAGTACGCTATGCCAAATTTCGTGCAAATCGAAAGATATATAGGGACTTTGGTACACCATTTACATTAAATCGCACGAAAATATATATGGGAGCTATATCAAAATCTGAATCGATTTTCACGAAACTTAACACACATCATTCTGGACATAATTCGTTACGCTGTGCCAAATTTCGTGCTAATCGTAAGATATATAGGGACTTTGGTTCACCATTTACATAAAATCGGACGAAAATGTATATGGGAGCTATATCAAAATCTGAACCGATTTTCATGAAACTCAGCACACATCACTCTAGGCCTAATTAATTACGCTATGTCAAATTTCATGCAAATCGAAAGATATATAGGGACTTTGGTGAACCATTTACATTAAATTGGACGAAAATATATATGGGAGCTATATCAAAATCTGAATCGATTTTCACGAAACTTAACACACATCATTCTGGACATAATTCTTTACGCTGTGCCAAATTTCGTGCTAATCGTAAGATATATAGGGACTTTGGTTCACCATTTACATTAAATCGCACGAAAATATATATGGGAGCTATATCAAAATCTGAATCGATTTTCACGAAACTTAGCACACATCATTCTGGGCATAATTCATTACGCTGTGCCAAATTTCGTGCAAATCGAAAGATATATAGACTTATAGACTTTGGTACACCATTTACATTAAATCGGACGAAAATGTATAAGGGAGCTATATCTAAATCTGAATGGATTTTCACGAAACTTAACACGCATAATTATAGACCTTATTCAGTGCTCTATGCCAAATTTCGTGCAAAGCAAAGATATATAGGGTCTTTGGTGTACCATTTACATTAAATCGGACGAAAATATATATGGGAGCTATATCTAAATCTGAACCGATTTTTCCCAATTTCAATAGGGTTCGTCCTTGGCCAAATAAGTGACCTATGCCAAATTTCATCCAATTCGGATCATAAATGCGACCTGTACTTTGTTTACAATTTAACATAGACAGACAGACGGGCGGACGGACATGCATAAGTCGACTTAGAAAGTGATTCTATGCATATTATCAAAAGGAACTACGTGTCTATCTCGTTTCCTTTTGCCTGTCACAAACATATGCACAAAGACATAATACCCGATACCACAGTGTGGTGAAGGGTATAAAAATCTACGCATTGTGGGTTCTTTGAAAAATTAAAAAAAATCGCCTTGTTGGTTATTTGAAAAAAATTTACGCCTTGTGGGTTATCTGAAAAAAATCTACGCCTTGTGGGTTCTTTGAAAAAAATTTACGTCTTGTGGGTCCTTTGAAAAAAATATGCCTTGTGGGTTATCTGAAAAAAATCTACGTCTTATCGGTTATTTGAAAAAAATCTACGTCTTGTCGGTTCTTTGAAAAAAATCTACGGCTTGTGGGTTCTTTGAAAAAAATCTACGCATTGTGGGTTCTTTGAAAAAAATTTACGCCTTGTGGGTTATCTGAAAAAAAAATCTACGCCTTGTGGTTATCTGAAAAAAAATCTACGCCTTCTTTGAAAAAAATATACGCCTTGTGGGTTATTCGAAAAAAAAATCTACACCTTCTTTGAACAAAATCTACACCTTCTTTGAAAAAAATCTACACCTTCTTTGAAAAAAATCTACGCCTTGTGGGTTATCTGAAAAAAAATCTACGCCTTGTGGGTTATCTGAAAAAAATCTACGCCTTGTAGGTCCTATTAAAATATTCTTTAAAAAATCTACGCCTTTTAGGTCCTATTAAAATATTCTTTAAAAAATCTACGCCTTTTAGGTCGTATGAAAAATATTCTTTAAAAAATCTACGCCTTGTAGGTCCTATTAAAATATTCTTTAAAAAATTTACGCCTTGTAGGTCCTATGAAAAATATTCTTTAAAAAATCTACACCTTGTAGGTCCTATAAAAAATATGCCTTAAAAAATCTGCGCCTTGTAGGTCCTATGAAAAATATTCTTTAAAAAATATACGCTTTGTATGTATTATTAAAAAAATCTACGCCTTGAAGGTCCTTTGAAAAATATTTTTAAAGAAATCTACGCCTTGAAGGTCCTTTGAAAAATATTTTTAAAGAAATCTACGCCTTGAAGGTCCTTTGAAAAATATTTTTAAAGAAATCTACGCCTTGAAGGTCCTTTGAAAAATATTTTTAAAGAAATCTACGCCTTGTAGGTCCTTTGAAAGATATTCTTAAAAAAATCTATGCCGTGTAGGTCCTTTGAAAAATATTCATTAAAAATTCTACGCCCTTCCCTTAAACAATATTTTTTTAAAAATCTATGCCTTGTAGGTCCTTTAAACAATATTTCTTCCATTTCAGTTACATTTTCATTACTTAAATATTTTTATTTCAAAAATTTCTCAGTTCAAATCCGCTAACCACGAGTGGGAGTCATTTAAGTAAATTATGTGTGCGCATAATAAATGCAGTCAAATGTAAAATGAGACCGCTTTTACGCATCGTTAAGTATTCGTGAAAGTAAAGAAAAAAAAAACAGAAATAAGAGCTGAAAATAAACTTGTAAATATCCCAAAAAGAAAAAGTAAAATCTGCAAAAACTAGTCTCAAAGAAAAAAAATCCTAACAAACACAATGACGGGCTAAAGAGCCACGATGCAGTCAAAACAAAAATTAAGGACTTATCAAATAATTTTTCGAATGAAAAAAACAAAGCGTCTAAAATCACAATAGCAAAAAGTTGTGGTCATAATGTTTTTATGACCACAACAGTAATGCAAGGACAATGCAAGTTCCTCAAAAGAAAAACTTTGATTTCATAAACTTTGGATTTTGAAGTCCAGCTACTTGACGACGGACTATTGACGTTGAGACGATTTTTTTTTGTCACAAAATTATGAATGATTCTTTGATTATGAAATTGTTCAAGGACTTAGTTTTAAGACGACTCAAGATGTTGAAAAGGATAACGTCAAACGAAATCAATAAGGGAAGGCAAAGGGAAACAAAACATTCACAAATTTCCACTTTGGATTTTTTTTCAAGGGGAAAAAAGTTAGGTGAGTTTTTTTATTTTCTCTTCTCCTCTTGATCTTCAACATCCTTAATGTCAAAAAAATAATTTGTCTATTTAATTTTCCTATTCCGAACAACAGCCAATAATGCTAATATCCCAAACACACAAAAGACAACTTCTTACACACACACACGCATATATATAAATGTCTTTCACATAATTATAACCATTAAACCACATTATTGTTGTTGTTGTTCCTTTTTGCAATTTCTGTTTTTATATCATCATTAGCGCTAGCAACCGCATCATCATCATCTTCTGAACCAACAACATATTGGGTGTTTATTTTATGGATGTTTTAAAGTATTCTCCAACAACCATTCCGCATCCATAAAAAATTGGCAATACTCTCACATATTTTTTCGTTATACTTTTGTATTAAATGGTCAATAAAAACTATAAAAAACAACAACAATCAAACCCGAAGCACAATTGTAAACAACGAAAAATTAAAAAATGGAAACATAAGAGGATGGATGCACATAGAGAAAATGTAGGTTTTTAAATGTTTAAATGTTGTCATTTAAAAATAACTCTTGAAAAGTATTCTTCCTTTGAAAAATGTTCTTTAACAGATCTACGCTTTTGAAAATATATATGCCTTGTAGGTCCTTTGAAAAATATTCTTTAAAAAATCTATGCCTTGTAGGTCTTTTGAAAAATATTCTTTAAAAAATCTATGCCTTGTAGGTCCTTTGAAAAATATTTTTAAAGAATATACGCCTTGTAGGTCCTTTGAAAAATATTCTTTAAAAAATCTACGCCTTGTAGGTTCTTTGGTGCCTTGAAGGCCCTTGGAAAAATATTCTTTAAAACATCTAAGCCTTGAAGGTTCTTTGAAAAATATTCTTTAAAAAAATCTACGCCTTGAAGGTCCTTGGAAAAATATTCTTTAAAAAATCTACGCCTTGAAGGTCCTTGGAAAAATATTCTTTAAAAAATCTACGCTTTGCAGGTCCTTGGAAAAATATTCTTTAAAAAATCTACGCCTTGCAGGTCCTTGGAAAAATATTCTTTAAAAAATCTACGCCTTGCAGGTCCTTGGAAAAATATTCTTTAAAAAATCTACGCCTTGCAGGTCCTTGGAAAAATATTCTTTAAAAAATCTACGCCTTGCAGGTCCCTTGGTGCCTTGTAGGTCCTTTGGCGCCTTGAAGGTCCTTGGAAAAATATTTTTTAAAAAATCTACGCCTTGCAGGTCCTTGGAAAAATATTCTTTAAAAAATCTACGCCTTGTAGGTCCTTTGGTGCCTTGAAGGTCCTTGGAAAAATATTCTTTAAAACATCTACGCCTTGAAGGTCCTTGGAAAATATTCTTTAAAAAATCTACTAATCTCTAAAATCTAATATATCTTCGCCTGGCCGATCCTTTAAAAAGTTATTCCTAATGTAATATACAAATTGTGGGTTCTTTGAATTTTTTAAAAATCTACTCCTTGTCAATCCTTTAAAAAGTATTCCTTAAATAATATACAACTTGTAGGTCCTTTGAAAAACATTTTTTGTACCACACTGTGGTACTATTATGATCGAATTCGTTTATTGAACTAAAACAGAAAATGAGAATACACACTCGAGTAAAACATATTGATACCAAAGCATACTGAGATTAGGCAAATAATAATAAACAAAGTGTTTTATGCTAAAGTACAATATTTGATTCAATTCTCAACACTCTACCTGAATTAAATATTACCATTTCCAATATATAATTACAAATAATACTAATACATAATTAATCTATGCCAAAAAATCCTTTAAAATATTCCAACTTTTGTGGGGTTGCCGCATTGGTAAAAACATCAGCAACCATTTCTTTTGTTGATAGATACTTCAAGGATATTTCATTATTGTCAATTTTCTGTTTAATAAATTTAGCTTTAATGTCCACATGTTTGGTCCTTGACGAGTATTTATTATTTGTGGCCACTTGTATAGCTCCTTTGTTATCACAGTACAGAACCATGTTGACTTTGCTGTTTGGATTGAGTTCTTTTTCGAGTCGTTTTAACCAAACAGATTCCTGTATAGCTGCTGTAATTGCCATGAACTCAGCTTCCGTTGAAGATAGTGCCACCGTTTTTTGCCTTTTTGTAGACCACGATATTGCTGCTGATTGAAAAATGAATACGTAGCCAGTTGTCGAATGACGGTCGTCCAAATTTCCAGCCCAATCTGCATCGCAATATCCAGTAATATCTCCTTCGACATCTCTCTTATAGATGAGCCCTTGTTCAATAGTTCCTTTTAGATAACGCATTATCCTTTTTACAGCTTCCCAATGCGCTCTGCCAGGATTAATTCCAAATCTGCTCAGCATATTCACAGCGTAGTATATATCAGGGCGCGAAACCTGTGCAGCGTACAACAAGCACCCAATAGCTTCCATATAAGGAGTATTCGACATTTTTTCCTTTTCAGCCTCGGTTTTAGGGGACATAATTTCGGACAACTTCTGATTATAGTCCATCGGTGTTGACGAAGGGTTACACTCATTCATTCCGAAACGTGTCAGAACATCTGATATATACTTAGACTGATCAATTTTGATTCCTTCTCCAAATCGTGATATTGTCATACCAAGCACAGTACATACTTCCCCCATGTCTTTCATTTTAAATTTATTCGAAAGAGCGTCCTTAACAGAATTTATTTCATTAACATCATTGGAAAATATAAGAACGTCGTCGACGTATATTGCAATATAAATCTTCTTTTCTTCCGTCATCTTAGAGTATACGCATTGATCCACTTCACCTCGTACAAAACCCATATCGACAAGTTCCTTGTTTATAGTCTCATTCCATACTCTACCAGATTGTTTCAAGCCGTATATGGATCTATTAAGCTTACATACTTTATTAGAACCATCACGGAAGCCTTCGGGTTGTTCCATGTATATGATTTCTTTTAAAATCCCATTTAAGTAAGCGCTAACAGCATCCATCTGATGAATCTTCATATCATATTTTACTGCCAACGCTGTTAAATATCGTATTGATTCATACCGAACAACTGGAGAGAATGTTTCCATATAATCGATACCTTCAGTCTGTGTGAAGCCCTTTGCGACTAATCTTGCTTTCCATCGCAACGTGTTTCCATTGGAATCCAGCTTTGACTTAAAAACCCATTTTGATTTCACAGCTTTGCATCCTTCAGGAAGTTCAACCAAAGTCCAAGTATTATTGACTTTCAATGAATTAATTTCTTCTTTCATAGCTATTTTCCAATTTTCAGAATCTTTAGATGACATTGCCTGTTTTATATTCTGAGGGTCTGAAGAAACATACTCTATTGCAGAAAACGCCGTTGATGATTGATTTCGGTTTGCAATCCTTTCTGATCTTCGAATATTATCAGATATTTGTATTGGTCGGTTTGGTTCCCACTCTTCATCATTTGTGTCCACGTAGCCGTTGTTCTCTTGGCATTCTGAGTCCAAAAACTCACTATCAGTCTCAGAATCACTACGAGGCTCATTTTGAATTTCATTATTGCCATTCAATTCGCTTGACTCCATATTCGTTGATACAGTATTTACTGTTTGGTCCAATACATTATGACTTTCTTCATTCGGAGATTGAATATAGCTCCCATATATATTTTCGTCCGATTTTCGGTAAATGGTGCACCAAAGTTCCTATATAACATTCGATTGTTACGAAATTTGGCATAGCGTACTAAATTAACTCTAGAATAATGTGTGTTAAGTTTCGTGAAAATCGGTTCAGATTTAGATATAGCTCCCATATATATTTTCGTCCGAATTTAGGCATCAAAGTCCCTATATATTCTTCGATTTGCACGAAATTTTGCAAAGCGTACTGAATTGAGTCACGAATGATGAATGGTAAGTTTCTTAAAAATCGGTTCAGATTTCATTTTAGCTCCCAATATATTTTCTTCCGATTTTAATGTAAATGGTGCACGAAATTTGGCATAGCGTACTGAATTGAGTCTAGAATGATGAGTTTCTGAAAAATCGGTTCAGATTTAGATATAGCTCCCACTTAAATTTTCATCCGATTTTAGGTAAATAGTGCACTAAATTCCCTATATATCCCTATATATAGCATACTAAATTAACTCTAGAGTGATGAGTGGTAAGTTTCGGGAAAATCGGTTCAAATTTCGATATAGCTCCCATATATTTTTTCATTCGATTTTAGGTAAATAGTGCACCAAATTCCCTATATATCCTTCGATTTGCACGAAAGTTTGCATATCGTACTGAATTGAGTCTAGAATGATGATTGATGAGTTTCGGGAAAATCGGTTCAGATTTCGATATGACTCCCATATATATTTTCATCTTATTTTATGTAAGTGATGTACCAAGTCCCTATATATCTTTCGATTTGCACGAAATTTGGCATAGCGTACTGAATTAATTTTTTAAAGAATATTTGCTTAAGGACCCACAAGGCGTGCTTTTTAAAATAATATTTTTTCAAGGGCCATAGATACGCATTGTAGGTCCTCTGAAAAAAAATATTTTTTAACAAAATTATATGGTCCTTGTAGTTTAGTGATTTCTCTCCGTGCATTTAAGTGGCGAGTTTAAATACCGTAATGAAAATAAGAATGACTGAAAGAAGAACATATTTGCGATTTTTTGTCCATCTTTTTTGACTAGGTGTTGATATCCGCATTATATAGATGACTTTTTTTGGTGTTGGAATTGTTGTCGATTTTAATACTAGCACTACTGATGACGATGATTGTGTGATGCTGTTTTTGATTTTATTATTGCCGTTATTGTTGTTGTTGGTGTATGTTAAATTAAGCACATAAATGGTTTTCCGAGCTAATGGTGTGTAGCAGGTTGCAATGCATTTTTGAGCGGCAGCGGTTATTTTTGTTTTTGGGTTGTCAAAATAAATTGCATTTGGAAACCGCAACAAATTTTAAACAACTCAATATTCAATTGAGTAATGGGTGTGTATGTGTGTAGTCACATAATAAAAAAAATCAGAATTTAATATTGACTATAAGAAAATTTGGATCTCAAAATTCAACATTTCAAACTTTCTTCACTTTTTTCAAATCAAAAACGAAATATAGGAAACTATTTTACAAAAATTTTATTATTGATCCCCTTTCCCGACCTCTCTTGTAATTTTGCTTAACATTCATAAATTCTATTTATTTATTTAATATGAAAAAATCCCGTTTTATACCACATAATTATAAACATCATTTAAACGATCATACCTAACGAAAATATGAATGGCTGTTTCATTGAATTTTATTTCTGGTTTTCAGTCAATTTTGTAAACAAATTTTTATAATTATTTTTCATGTAGATTTTTGTTTTTAGAAAATTTGTGTGTGTATGAGTTTTGTATATTTTCTTTAGATATGAATAATGACGAATTATGTTGCTTATTTTGATTCTTGCCCCTCACTCTCCCCGCCCATTCCTTCAGAGTGTGCTGTGAAATAAATTTCATTTAAATTAACCCCAAAAGCCATTATAAAATAAACAAGAACAAAAACAACAACAACAATTTCATTGAACATTAAATTAAAACGATTTTAATGGGCCGCTAAGAAATGCTGAACGAACGACGACTGCCTTGAATTTTAAATTGAAATGAAATTTTGAAAAAAAGAAATGAAATGTTGTTACAGTCGAAAAATGATTGTAAATATATTTATATTTAAGAAAATAGGACTGAAATATATATGACAGATGATTTAAAAAAATGATCGAAATTTGGAAAGGCGTGGATTTTTTTAAATAATATTTTTGCAAGGATCCACCCACAAGGCGAGGATTTTTATACCCTTCACCGCACTGTGGTACAGGGTATATATATCTTTGTGCATATGTTTGTAACATTCAAAAAAAAAAAAAAAACAGAGGATTTTTATACCCTTCACCACACTGTGGTACATATGTTTGTAACATGCAAAAATAATCGAGATAGGTCCATGGTTCCTTTTGAGAATATGCATAGAATCACTTTCTGAGTCGATTTACGCATGTCCGTCTGTCCGTCCGTCCATGTATTTTTGTGAACAAAGTACAGGTAGCATTTATGATCCGAATTGGATGAAATTTGGCACAGCTCATTTGTTTGGCCCAAGGACGAACCTATTGAAATTGGGAAAAATCGGTTCAGATTTAGATATAGCTCCCATATATATTTTCATCCGATTTAAGGTAATTGGTGCATCAAAGACCCTATATATCTTTCGATTTGCACGAAATTTGGCATAGCGTACTGAATTGCTTATATAATAATGTGTTCTAAGTTTCGTGAAAATCGGTTCAGATTTAGATATAGCTCCTATATATATTTGCAACCGATTTTAGGTAATTGGTGCACCAAAGTCTCTAAAAATCATTCGATTTGCACGAAATTGGTCATAGCGTGCTGAATTAAGTCTAGAATGACGTGTGCAAAGTTTCGTGAAAATCGGTTCAGAATTAGATATAGCTCCCATATATATATTTTCGTCAGATTTTATGTAATTGGTGCACCATATATATATATATATATATATATATTTCGATTTGCACGAATTTTTGTACAGGGTACTGAATTAAGTCTAGAATGATGTTGCTAAGCTTCGTGAAAAGATCTATAGCTAGGCCGTTTGACAGAAGGTAGTGAAGTAATATAAATTAGTCTCTGGCAAGTTTCCCTGAAATCGGTTCAGATATAGATTTATAACAAAAAACGCGACGTCTGTTAGGATACATATGTAGAATATATCCAAAGTGGTGAAGGGTATCATATAGTCGGTCCAGTCCGACTTTACTACTTTCCTTACTGGTTTAAATAATATGTTTGCAAGGATCCACCCACAAGGCGTGCATTTTTTAAAGAATATTTTTTCAAGGACCCACCCAGAGGACCATTAAGGCGTGGATTTTTTAAAGAATATTTTTTCAAGGGCCATCATATAGGCGTGGATTTTTTAAAGAATATTTTTTCAAGGGCCACCATATAGGCGTGGATTTTTTAAAGAATATTTTTTCAAGGGCCACCATATAGGCGTGGATTTTTTAAAGAATATTTTTTCAAGGGCCACCATATAGGCGTGGATTTTTTAAAGAATATTTTTTCAAGGGCCACCATATAGGCGTGGATTTTTTAAAGAATATTTTTTCCGGGCTACCATTAAGGCGTGGATTTTTTAAAGAATATTTTTTCCGGGCTACCATTAAGGCGTGGATTTTTTAAAGAATATTTTTTCCAGACCATTAAGGCGTGGATTTTTTAAAGAATATTTTTTCCAGACCATTAAGGCGTGGATTTTTTAAAGAATATTTTTTCCAGACCATTAAGGCGTGGATTTTTTAAAGAATATTTTTTCCAGACCATTAAGGCGTGGATTTTTTAAAGAATATTTTTTCCAGACCATTAAGGCGTGGCTTTTTTAAAGAATATTTTTTCCAAACCACCATTAAGTCGTGGATTTTTTAAAGAATATTTTTTCCAAACCACCATTAAGGCGTGGATTTTTTAAAGAATATTTTTTCCAAACCACCATTAAGGTGTGGATTTTTTAAAGAATATTTTTTCCGGGCTACCATTAAGGCGTGGATTTTTTAAAGAATATTTTTTCCGGGCCAGCATTAAGGCGTGGATTTTTTAAAGAATATTTTTTCCGGGCCAGCATTAAGGCGTGGATTTTTTAAAGAATATTTTCTCCGGGCCAGCATTAAGGCGTGGATTTTTTAAAGAATATTTTTTCCGGGCCAGCATTAAGGCGTGGATTTTTTAAAGAATATTTTTCCAATGCCTGAATTCCTCTATTACATATATCAATCATCATGAAACATAAAATATATTTGGAAATGTTCATAAATATACAAAATTAAATACTAAAACTATTATGCCAAAATATTTATGAGCGCTTAACATAGGCACTGACAACTTTTATGGGACCCACTAAGTGTTTTATGGCTTTGAGGATTTCATGTTTCCCCCCCTCCAACGAACATTGTTTAACAACAGGGAGTAGAGATCATTAAAAAATATATTTAGAAGACTTATCGGAAGTTCGGTATTAAATATATTTATATTATGTATATTATTATGTAAAATTTCTTTTTGGAAAAAATAAATTTTGGATAACATATCGAAGTAATTTTTCGAACGAAACACCTGTCTATGATCGCCAGCTAAAACCGGGCGATTTTATTTATTTATTAAATTTTGAATATTATTTGTAGCTCTTCTAATTGTATAAGACAATTTTAAGGTCTCATAGCTCCCATTTGTTGTTCTGTAGAATAAAATATTCTAAGACCTAATAATAAAGGAAGAGTATTTCATATTTTTCCTAAATGCCCAAACATTTTGAGTGACCACAAAATTGTTGTTCAGAAACTTTAAATATTACCGTTTAAATAATTTAGTTTGTAAAACATAAACCCCTCTTTACAAAAAAAAAAAAAAAATCGTAAGAAAAACAAAAGTTATAAATTATAGTTTCCAACAGCATTCCAAGAACTCTTAAAGTGCAAAATATAAATATAATAAAAACACAAAAAAAAAAAAAAATAAAAATTGCCCTGACCAAACATGCCAAGCA